TACACATACAAAATTCATAAATCTTTATTTAAATTTTAACCAAATATAATCTAATAAGACAATTTATTCGAAAACGTTCAAAATATAATATATAATATAAAAAAAATTGTCAATTAACATTAATATGTATTTATTTATTATTATTAATTATTCACGGTAAATTGACCTTAGGGCTTTTAATTTATGAGATATAAATATTAAAATTAAGATGAGCGAAGTAGTGGACATACATTTTGCAAGGTAACCATGTACCACTCAACTCCGCTCATCTAAACTTTAAATACTTATAACGCATAGACTACTCACGTCTCACACTAAATTCAATTTTTATGTATCGAAATACTTAGAAAAATATTCTACTTTGGAATATGAAATTAAAACTCTGTTTTCAAAAATAAAAAAAAAAATTAAAAGGATAATTTTTTAATAACAAAGTTGTTTTGTAAACGACTCTAAACTATGTAAAAAATATTTTCAAAAACAATTACACTTTGAAATATTGAGTGTTCAATTTTAAATAAATCGCCGCCCTGTATAGTCTCTCGGGTAAACACAAACGTTTAGAAACTAAAAGGGCTCTACCTACATTTAGTCTTGTCTTCATAAGGTACCAACCCACACACGTCTAAAAAAATCTCAGGTAGGGCTAAAGCACACTCCTATGGTGTTAATCATTACATTTTAGAGCATTTAAAACGCTTCAATATTCAACTTTGATAATGGTTTATTGAAGCAAATAGAATCTAGTTGGTACTTGAATCTGAACTTTTCACCATATTATAATTTTCTAAATATGATATAATTTTCAAAATATTTTGGATTTTTTTTTATTGGTATTTGAAATTTTGAAATTTTTTTAAAATTAATGTATTTCAATTTTTATGTGAGTAGAATAATCTTGAAATTATACAAGGTTTCTCATAATATCTTTCTGCAACTAAAAAATATTAAAGATTTAATATTATAGTCATAATTTGTAAAAATTCTGTTCATCATAAACATAATATATAATATATCAATTATTTGTAGTTAAAAATTCATAACATTTTGTAATTTCAATATCTAAAATTTAATACAAGATTTTTTAAGTTTTTACTAAAGTTAAAAAATATTTAGCATAAACCATGATAACAAAATTTAATAAGAGTAAGTTTAAATTATGATAACATTGTAAATTCAATAATACAGGAATAATAACAGTTTACCCTTGAACAATTTTTGTAATTTTCAAAATTATTAATTTTAGAAACTGCAAATTATCCACTATTACTTAAATTATCATTCTCTGTACACGATAGACATTTCCAAAATATTGAGAGTAATTTTAAGCTATACCACAACCTATTCACACCCATGGTAGGCATTTACTTATAACTTATTATATAGGTTTTATAATATATTATATACCTTGTTTTTGGCGAAACTTAGTTCCATATTACTAATAGCAATATGAATATAATATAAAGTAATAAAATGTCCCTAAAAATATAGCTATCTATCAGAAAATTTTTTTTGTACACAATGATTTATCATTGAAATTAAATTTAACACATCCATTTTTAGTTCTGAAATGTAAGTTTATTACTTATTGATTATATTCATATGTGCTCATCTTAAAAGCTCGTGCACCCTCGTGTGTTGTTGTCTTCGTCTTAAAAGTGCGTAATATAGCAAGTTTTACTCTTAGCAGATCACATTTAGTTCTGTTAGTTTCAAAATTGACTTCTTATACAATTTAAAGGTAAGATTAACTAGGCAATCTCTGTGGCTTTTTATTATATTTTTATTTTAAAGCAAATTATGAATATTTTAAGATGTAGAAACAATTTACAATATTTGCTTGTAATTAAAATATGATAAAAAGCCTATGAGATTGCCCGCGTAATAATCTTACCTTTAAAACTTTATAAGAGGTCAATTCAATCTAATTTTTTTAACTAACGGAGCTAAACGTGATCTGCTGAATGTAAAATTTGATTTTGCGCACTTGTAAGACAGAAACAATACATCTTTGTGCCACGTCCTCTTAAACAGTTTTGAAAATATTTATATTGATATATTTTAATAAGAAATGTTATCTGCATATGTATCTCATTTTTTAACTTATGTAATAAGTCATAATGTCATATTTAATTATTTTGATAAAATTAAATTTTTATAAATTGTAAATAGAATAATATTCCTAATTAGTATCTATTATTAATTTAGATTCAAAAGCAACATGAAAATATGGTTGCAAAAGCAATGGCTGCTCAACAACAACAGTCTAAGCAAAATATGTTCAAACTTCCTGTGGAACTTCAAAATATGGTCAACTTCTATACACCTACCAAAGATATATTGCAAAGCCGCGAAGCACAAGAAATGCTTATGGGTATAATATATATATTATATATAAAATATAAATTAAAAATATGTTAATATAAATTTTTTCAATAGGAATAAAACGTGGTGAAGTAATGCTACATCATTTGGTAGAGCAATGGAAAAAGACTAGTACTAATCAGTCTCGTTATCGTGAAACTCTTATTTGTCTAATGAAAGTATTTCAACATTCAAGCAGTATGTGTTTATTACAAATATGATACTATAAAAAAATATATTTTATATTAAAAAATATTAATATATAATTTTAGATGCCCAAAGAATGGCTAACCAACAGGATTTAGTTTACCAACAACAACAACAAGCTGCATTATATCAAAGCCAAATGCTTAAAAGACAATTGCTCGATCAAACTCACAAAAGAATGGAAAATGTATGTGTGGCTTATAGAAAGAAAAAATTATAGTTTAAATGTATTAATGCATTTATTTTAATTAGGTTCATAATGTATCATATGGCGGAGAAGGTTCTATGGATTTGGGCTCATCTCAATCACAATCTCAACCAAGAATTGGCCTTACTCCAACGTCTGTGTTACGTAAAATGACTTCAACCTCAGAACCATTGGTAGACAAACACCATAATATACCTGACGAAAGATCTGGTTAGATATAATAATACCTTTTTCCTGCTATTGTTTATTAATGTGCACATTTTCAAACTGTTGTTTAGTTACCCAGCATGCACTTCAGCATCAAATAAACACTCTACAACAACAAATCCAGCAACAACAGTTTATGCATCAGCAGCAACAACAACAACAGCAGCAGCAACAACAACGGCCGGTTAATACAACTATCCAGCAAATACTGAGTGGTAATTATCCCAGGTATCACGGAGCTCAACAACAACAACAACAACAACAGCAGCAGCAATCCAATAATATGAATGGTCGCAGTAAGTTTTCTTTTTATTGATTTATCTTTAAATTGAACATGGTTTACACTTTTACAATAATTAAAAATGAAATACATTCTTATTAGGATGAAAGTTAAAAAAATTCTTAGTTCATAGATTATAATCAATTAGTTATTAATATGTAAAAGGTATTAACATAATATACTGTTTGTTTGATTTTAAAAAGGCATAAACTACGGTTCTGCGGATAAATCTCGCATGAACCGGGTACAATCTCCTGTCAGCAATCAGCTTGCACGTTGGTTTTCTCCAGAACTGTTGGCACAAGCCCGTGCTGGCCGTTTGCCAAACATGCCTGCTATGTCGCAGAATATCAACATGCTCAGTGTCGAGGATATCGAAAAGTTCCAGGTTGGTGGTCGCTCTTAATTAGTAAAAATTGTGGCGACTTCTACAATTTTGTGTAAAAATCGTAAAAACTACAAAAAAAAAAAGTTGTTATTCCTTTTAAATATATATAGGGCCCTTCTCAAAGTCTCAATATTTTCTTTCTTTTCCTTTTGTTTTATTATGGGGTTCTTAATTTATTTTAAGTTCAGTGTTTTTCCACTGACCTCTCTTTAATATTATTCCTCAGAGCAATTCAGAAACGTTTTTATTTTTCTTTTTGCATGTTTAAACAAAAAATTAACTATTAATTTTTGAAAAATTGTAATTTTATTCTTATGAACTTGAAACACATACTTATTTTATATAATACATTATAATTTCTTTAAGATTATGAACCTCTTGTGTACAAAAATTCATTATTATATCTTTAGAAAACAACGTGTATATAAGTACAAAGAAATATTTTCTTATGTACCATTTGTCTGTGATGTTAGAAGTTGTATATGAAATGTAAGTTTGATAAGTCTTTGTATTACTAGAGTTAAAAAAAAAAATTGAACCGCTTTAGCGGAGATATGTATGAAGAAATAAACTATTGTAATTATAATATATACTTATAGTTTTTGACAAACTCATTTCCATTGTTTTCTTAGTGCTCAGTGAGTAAATGTTTTCTTTACGTTACACATACATGTGAACATATATATTATATATATATGCATATTATATTAAACAAATGTTATTATTTTTTTTTTCATTTTGTATTTTATTTTATTCAATTAAATAACTTATATACAAATTACATTAACTACATATTATATGTGAAGTACAACAATAACAAAAAGTACCAACAGTTTGATTTACATCAGAAGAAGTCAAATCAGTAAAGGATATGTAATGGTTATATTTATTACTATATAACAGCAAATAAACTTCCGAAAATTGTTAAATTTTTATTTTTATTATAATAATATAATATAATATATAAAATGATAAAACATAACAGATATAGTTAAAATATTACTTGTAAGTGCACAAAACATAGTCCAGCTTGTGGGGTAACCATAATAAAAGTTAATAGCCACTAAAAAAGAAGCCTACACCTTAAAATCATTCTTATATATTATACATATAAAGATGTTCACTACTCATTTGGGTAATTAATAGTCAGTGGACCAATAAGTTTTAGATAATAACAAGGAAAAGTAAACAAAAATTAATAATAATTTTGTTGAACACGTCTCAATTCCGTATTGTAATAGAAAACAGAACACTTATTACAAAAATGATTCCGTACAATTCATACAGAACACAATGTTACATATTGTGTGTAAATTTATCAACTTTCACCTATAACTTAGTTTAGTTTAATTTGATGGTGCCGGTTGTAAAGTTATGTTAACATTTTTTTGATCATCTGCAACAGCTTGCTTACATGTGGTAGTTGAAGTGCTAGTGCTTCTTAGAGCTCCAATAGAAAAACATGGCTCGCACACTCTTACAGGTTCATAGAGTTGTTCAGCTGGCAGCGGAACCAGATTTCGCGAACAGTCTGCGCAGAATATTTTGCCGCAACTTCTAATAATAATAAATAAATAAAAAAAAAGATATAACATTGATGAAAACAAATAAAACTATAAAATATATTTTTAAAAACAATATATTTTACTCGCCTACAGTGATGCTTCCGTCTTCCCAGCCAGAACTTGTTGTCGCACGACATACACTGGGTAACTGCGTGATCCGGTACCCACAGAGTTGGCTGAGCATCGAACGACTCCACAGGTTCCCACGACAATGTCGTCTCTCCTCCTGTGCTGCTACACACGGATACCTTCAAAAAATTACTCCACCCTCATTCTAATACATGACTAGATAAATATATCAGTGTACCAAATAAGGCTGCTGATACTTTTAAATTTTAAATGAACTACGCACATCATCGTCAGTTTTCTCTGCTAGTGATAGACCATTCACATCAGGCGTAGTTGTTGCTTCAATACAACGATGGCTTGCTTGCCGCAACAGTACTAGCCGAGTGACATGTAATTCATTTTGAAGTGCTGCTTCTCTCGTCTAAAACCAAACATTTTAATGATAACTAATACAAATGGTTAACTTTTATAATTTATGAATATGTTTACCTTATGCTCTAAATTCAACTGCTGAAGTCTATTTTGTACGTCATCTACAAGTGGTAACAGTCCATCAACAGTGTTTAAGATACAATTAGTTGAACTTGAATTTCGTTCTACATCATAAAATACAATCACATGAATATTAAATACTAAATAGTAAATAGTATTATTTTAGCAAAATACACTTAATAAAATATAATACATTACTATTTACTATTTAGTATTTAGTATTAATCAAATGTGGGCAAGTTAATGAAAATAATTAATTCAAGTTAAGTTATAAGTTAAAAAGGAAAAAAATATTATCTAACTTTGTTTAAAAAAAGTTAACCTACTTTTTTTAATTTGAAAAGTGTATCAAATAAAGAGTGACTTCTTTCTAATTTCCTATAATGTATAGAACATAAACCTACTATGTATTTTACTATACATTATTACTAATAGGACGCTAGCCATGCGTTTGGGGTCTCCCTCTAACTGAAGTATGACATAGCAAATGTTTGTTCACTAGTTTCAATAATGTGCTGTTAGTTTTGATATAAGAGTGAATGATAATTCACTATTTTTTCCAAATTTTTCCACTAATTTATTAACCTATGTGCAAACTTTTAGGTAAAAACATGACCTGTGTTTAAGCATGCTACTTTTCAATATTATAATTTCCAAGAAATGGGTATGTGAAATAAAATAAATTAAAAATGATCATATCTATCTTGAAAATTTAAACATTGAATAAAAGCAGACACTTAAGCACAAATAGATAATGCTTCTAAAAGTCTGATAATATAACCTAAAACCTATAATTCATTCTAACATCAAAATTAACAGCACACTATTGAAACTAGTAAATGAAAATTTGGTATGTCGTACACTCGTACGTGTGTAGGATGGAGACAACAAATCATAATTGGGAAGCGTCTTCTTAGATATTTAAACTATACGCATCTCAATCAATAATTTAACAAATATTAATTAATTTATATCAAATTGCAATTTTAAGATCATATAATATTATGTCTCTTTTCTACTAAAATTAACTATAATATACAAAAAACCCAGAATAATAACAGAAATGTTTATATTATAATAGTATTGGAGTATTTTTATTTTAATATTAATATTTACATAAAAAACCATAAAAACGACCAATTTCAAAACTTTAATGATGGATTATTTTTAAATCAACTGAAGAAAGCAAAGTTATTTCAACTGTCAATTCAACTAGTTGAGTTCATAAGTTGATTAGAAAAACTAACCAACTACTTAATTAAAAGTAAACATTTTTTTTAACTAATTCATGCCCCCCACCCCACCTTTGCTATTTATTGTTAAATGTTAAGGAACCTTTTAATTGTTTACCTATACCATTTTCCTCGGCAATAATACTTGACAATGAACTAGAATTTGTGTCTGAAGATTTATCATCTCTGTCATCTAAAGATATTGTATCTTCGTGTTTTGGAAACTCCATGCACGGACCTTCACTATTTATCACAACAGGCTGATCAATTCTTATTATTGGATCGATAATGCCTTCGCCTTCCATTCCCAATCTAAAATTAATAAATATATAAGTACAAAGCTAATAAACACTAAGATTTAAATTAAATAAGTTCTTAAGAGGACACACACCAATATTATTCAATGTACACATATTTATCAACTGTTTAATAATAAATATTTATTCAAATATTATGTAGGTATTAGACCATCAAATTACTTACATAGAATTACATATTTCAGTAGTTTTGGTTAGTTGAGGTCCATCAGTAAATGGTCCAACATATAAATCCCTCCAAAGATTCATATCTCTTACATTACAACTAATCCATAAAACCTAAAATTTAATAAAATTATATTATTTTAAAAGTAAATTTTATAAATATACCAATAATATTACATTGTCTTGTTGAGATGAATATAAATGATTTTTACACTCAGCAGATGCAGCCAAATGTTTCCAAACAGAAAATGTAGCAGTACCTATCCCTGTGCGTTTTCTTTCGGCCCCACTATTGCACAAAAATGTACCGAAAAGATTTGAGTATGTGTGTTGTGCTAATTTGACTAAGTATGTTTTGGAAAATTCAAAAGCACAAGGATACTGTGACATCACATTATGCACGCAGTCCAACCATTGAATAAATACTGGACATCGTTCATTCGGATCTTCACCTTGACCACGATCAGCGAATTTATGTCCAAAATCTAACCATTCTCTTTGGCATAAAACTCGAAAACCATCAATTGTTCGATAATACGAATCCAACATTAGTTCAGCCAAAGAGACAATTTGAGGAGTACGATCCCATCCATCTGAACAGTGCACAAGGACTGGTTGCATTTCAAGTTCAATAGTTGCTACAACTGTGTTAGCAGCATGAAGAAGTCCACTTATATTATGTAACCATCGTGTGTTTTCCAGTAAACTGTACCAGCTAAATTAAATATTTAATAAATTATTAGAAATAAGAAAAATACATTTATATTAAATTATTTGGAAAGAACATACTTTGGAAGATCAGGAGGCGAAGCACACAGTTGACGAAGTAAGTGATAACTTTTTCTGACCGCATGAATATTTGCCAAATTCATGAACCGAATTTCACATCCAGGATAATATTCGGGACATTCACATCCTCCACCTCGAGCTCGATTTGCAACAGCTGATGGATATGATCGTGCATCAATTACAACTAATTTCTAATAAAATTATAAAGAAGGATTATTGATCACATATAAAGACATTTATTTTATTAAGGGTATTTTTGTATTTACTTTGGATTTTTTAGATTTATTTTGGCAAGATTCAGCAATTGCTTTCAGTAAGTCTTCATCCTCTGACGATCTCCATCCCAACCAACCCACTTCAGGTTGTGAACATCTTGCTAAAATAGCTCCATTACCCTTATGTCTTATTTTATTTTAAGTCACAAAAATGCAATTAGAATTTATATATAAATATTTTTTAAATTTATAATTTACCTCCATACAATTACTGGAACTCGTTTGGAACTACGAAATTTGGCTGCAACTTCCAAAGTTTGATCAGTAATACAAGAAGGAACCAATAATCGATTTGGATAAGAGGCACATAATTTATAGTCCCAATTTACTTTAGAAATACGCCATTTAGAGTTATCACTTAGAACACTTATATTTAGTCTTTCAATCTGCATAGTGATATTAAAAATGTTAAGTTAAAAGCATTTAGTTTAATACCAATTGTCGTTAAATTATTTTACCTCTTTCATAAAATAATCATCATCACCATCATGCCCTAAATTTGAAGAAATGTCTTCATTGCATTGATCCTCAATGGCCCAAGCATGAAATGCAAACGCAAAAACATCTTGAACGTTTTTTGGTGATACTATTACTCTGGTCAATCGCTTATACCACTCCAAACATAAATCATTTGTAGTAAAAGTACACCTGTAATAACAAAATATACTATCTTATATCAGTTTGATAAAAATATACTTAAATATTTTTATTAGCTACAATTCCCGGAGTTGTATATTTATATAAGGAATTATAAATAGATTACAAAGTGAAATAATGAAAGGTACATTATCTTTACATTTTTATAAAATTATCTAACAGCAGCTGTATCTTTTAAACCTAACAAAAAATATTTTAACCATAATATTATTCTAAGAATGTTGACTATTTTGGGTTTATAGGTGTTTAATTAATGTACATTTTAAATAAATTGTGTCAAACTTGTAATATTAATATAATATGTATGTATATATATATACATATATTTAAATTAGAGAAATTAAGCTCCTACCTGAAAAGAAGCCCTTAGAAGTGTTGATATAAATTTAATGAAATGGAAATATAAACCAAGGTTAATGTATATTAAAATTAATGCTTTAACACTATAGTCTATAAGTCATACAAATATAAGCTAGAGGTTTTGTTTTAATTTCATTACTTTTTTGTTTATTATATTATTATGTCTCTATATACTTTTATTTTTATTTGTTCAAAATATTTCACTCAATACTTTATAGAATTTATTATAAAAGAAAACAATATTTTTGGGATGGAGGAGGATATCATATTTAATCTCTATTACAATATAGTTGTTTTTAAGAATTAATAGTTATAGAATATCATACATTTTATTTGGTAACAATAATAAAAAGTTATACAAGGAATGCCTAAGCTACAGAAATAATTAAAAATATACAAAAACGTTAGAATTGCAGATAGATTAAAAAAGTTATGACTTCTAGCGAGATGTTTTAAATATTAAATTAATATAGGCACATATATTTTAGGTACAAAAATAACAAAACTAATTCATTAAAAAATGTATTCTTTCGTTTTATAATAATTTCTAAGGTTAAATTGTTTCATTGTAGATTTGACTGATTTATTTTTGTATTTTTTTGGAAAATAATTTAAGCATAGTGAATGCTTACCTGCATGTCCGAGAATCTTTGCAACTAATTATCATGTAAAATAGATCTTTTATTTCAATCATTTCAATTAGGCCCAATGGTATGTTGCTGTCTTGAAAACCTTTTCTTCGTTTTGACCCTTCATCAGATACTTTTAGATAAAAACGATAATTGGATAGGGCTAACACAGTATTATTGGCACCGCGACCTAAGTATTCAACAAATTCACCAGCTAAAGGAACAAAAGGCACCAATGGTGGTTCTAAAGTTGGAGGACTCTCATCGGTCTCCAAATCTCTCTTTGGATACAACTCAGAGGCTCGTACATGACACATAGACTGAGTCACAGTTGATGAACTACCAGACGAATCAGATAACTCCATCTAAAACAATATAAATTGGGTTATTAATTATTATACCTTTAACTAAAATGTAAAATTACTTTATTTAAATTTAAATGATAGCACTTAAAGAGAATATAAGATTGAATAAATTTGATGTCGAGCGTTTATTTTACATCATTCAATTTATATCATTTTTTATTTTATAATAAGGATAAATCATTGTAGATACCTAGATGAATCCTGAGATCAGTTCGGTTGACGATTGGATTTAAAGTGTTATATATTATACAATAGACCAGTGACGTATTTGCGGGGGGGTCAATCCCCCTCCACAATAGGCTGCATATAATATGCAAAAGTTTTCAGATTCCTAACTTAAGGCCTCTAACTTTAAAGGCAGGGTTACTGAATAACGTCATATCCCTCCCCCACAGACAAAAACCTAAATACGCCACTGCAATATACATTATACATATTTTATGAACAGAACTACCGAACATCGTAATGGTATAATACTATAATATTAGCAACCTCGTATTTAATCTAATCTTGATAGATCTAAAAATACTAAATAATTAAATATCTATAACAGTGGCATAGCCAGAGGAGGGGCTGAAGGGGCTGCAGCCTCCCCCCTTCCCGAAATGTTAAGAAAATTTAAAAATTATTTTTATTGTCTATGATAGTCGCTCAAAAAGTCTTGCATTATATTTAAAATATTTAAAAATTTGCCTATAAGTATTAACACTTTTCAGCTATCTATCTGTGCTAGTACGTATTTAATGTATAAACTTGTAAAAGTTGATCAGCCCCCACGATCTGAGCTACGCCACTGATCTATAATAAAACTAAGTGTGTTAAAGTGTTAAATATGTAAATATTTTCATACTGATAATAATAGTAATACAAGATTATTACCTTTATCAAAAGAAGGTTTTTATTTAGGTTTAATTTTGGATATTTATAGAACTATTCACAATGAACAGAGTACAGTAGATACAGTTTACTTAAATACATTTAAGTATAAATCACATAAAATCAGAATGTTATTTAAAATAAAATTTGTAATTTCCATAAGAAAAAAAAATTGTTATTTAAAACTCATAGGTAGTATCAATATATTTTGTACCTATTAAATTTAAATTTTATCAATGGACTTGATAACGCTGGAAGTTTAAAACTATTTAAATGTTTAAATTTATTCAAATTGAATACCATAGGAAGTAGGAACCTACTAATTGTTAATCTATTATTCATAAGTCATAACACACTATCGAATAACATGAAATTCAATTCAATATTTGTCCACCGCTTAACCGCATTATAAACGTTTAAATAACACTGGACGGTCAAAGGTCAAAGCAAAATGTTCTGTTTATATTACGTTATAAAGTTATTACGTATAATCATCGTCGGAAATAGGAAGGTACCTAGTATAGATAAAGACATTGCAATTCGCGGTGAACCTCAAAACCTCGTAGTTAATAGTTATTTTTAACGTCATTCGTGGCTATGATGTTCTGACTTCCTTCTAAGTATAAAGTAATAATATATAATAATATTGATTACCTACACGGCTAAGGGTATCCATATCAAAATTTAATTTGACATTGGTGTGCATACAATTAATTGAATGGATATTAATGATATATAGTAGCAATAGGGCATATGTATACTAAATATTATTATTATTTTTTTTTTTTTATCACATACACAACTGATAGTAAAATCACGGAATAAATTAACTCTATTTAATCTATCTATTGTAAAAGGATAGACATTCTAAACATTTATTATAATAATATGTAACGAAACAACAATAATGCCCTACGTGATGTTGCATGATGTTTTTGGACAAACAAATAACATTATACCACGACTGGAAAAGAGAGAATAAAATTGTGCAGTCATTGAATCTAATGGCTGCAGGCACACACTATCACGTTGCACTAGACAACCTTGTCGACAACACTACAGAGAACCTACAATATAATATTATTAAACATCTGGTACGGAATGCGACACAAGAATAATAATGTCACACACTCGCACGGGAAAATCGTTCTCCGTTTGAAAACGACCAGCGGCAAGTTATGTCACTGTATTCAGTAAAATTGCATATTTAGAAAATGGCAAACGTCGCGTTCTAGTTTCGCGAAGGACGTCCGCCTTTGATGGTCACCATTATAATTTATAATATTATTGTTAATGATTAGTCATTATCGGCACGAGGGGAGGTTAACCGCCCTTATCATCCCCATTGATACGAGGTCCAGGAAACTCACTTTTATCCAAAATACGATTAGCGTTCATGCATTTCCGTCGGACCAGGAAGACGATCTTTCCTCGGTGTGATGTCGGTCCGTCGGATAGATCGTTGTTGAAGTCCAAGACTGCAGCGAAGATTATTTCTTAATAAGCGATACGGTTTTATTCCGTGGAAAAACGACCGAGCGACGTACCGACAGGCACGTCATGCGGGTGTTTTCCGCGGACGTGCATCGCGTCCCTCGACGGTGATATAATAACAACAATAATATTAATATGTTATTACTTAAATTATTATTGTTGTTGTTGTTGTTGTTGTTGTCGTCGTCGCTGATGTGTCAAAGACGAGTTCTCGCGAGTAACATTGACGATAATAATATTGTAACGATGTGAATTAATATGACCACGAAACCGACGTGCGCTGCGCACATCAACGAAAATACTGATCCGACCGAACGGAGAATGAGAAAAATATTAAAAAGATTCGATTAACAGTAAAATTAACAATCATTGAACGTAAAGACGAAATAAAACACAAAACAAAAACATTTAGTATAGAACAATACAATAAACAGATATTACATGTAATATGGGTACCAGGGTACCTATGTGGCTACTGGCTATGTGCAATAAAATATTTAATATTATGTTAGAACTTAGGTGTGTATTTATATATATATTTAGCAACAATCGTGCTCAGAGGATGAAATTCGATTAAAAAAAACCCATATGACAACTACAGGAGAGCCCGTCAGTTGCAGAAAAATTGTCAGTCGAAGCTTAGGTTGGCCACACCGTCGACGCATTCAACCATAACCATGAACTAAGATAATATCTTAGTTCATGACCATAACTCGTTATAATATTATGTTTGATAATAAGTGATAATAAAAAACTTAATAATATAATTATTAATTATTATAGCTGTTATATTGTTTCAATTATATTTGATCATAATATTACTGAATACTGGATAATGTAAGAAATTAGAATAGATAGTCTGATAGTGTACGATTCTGTAAAATACGAATTTAACTAATTTAAGTTCAATTTTTTCGTTACTTTTAAATTTTCAACTCTGCATCAATCTATTTTTTTGTTATTCTCAACTCTATCAATTAAATTTGACATCTAATAAAAATTTAAATCATCGTATTAAAAACTTGTGCAATTAAAATAATAATAACACTACAAGCAAATGAACTTCATCAATGTTATGCTCTAAATCAAACCTTTGGATCATAATCTTACAACTGATCTTTGATATTACTATGTGTTTGTAATATGATTATTATTTGTTACACCTTCACCGTGTACATTATTTAATAGGTATATTTTTATTATTTTTATTATATATATCTTACACTGGACTCTATGGACTTGTGTTAAGTTTCAGATCAGGTGAAGTGAACATTTTCATCAACCACTTGGAAGAACTGTGAATTATCACATCAAATATATAATTGTCAGGGACAATCACCCTAAAGATTTAATATTTTTGAAATTAATTTATTGAATAATTTATATTTTACTCAAACCCACAATAAGCTATAACTTAAAATATAAGTTTTATAGTTGATAAAAATAATAATTAAATATTTATTTTCTCCATGTAACAAAATAGTTTTAATTACATTAAATAAGATTCTACCTCAGTCTTCAAACATATAACGAATGACTTTTTACTGGATTTGGTAAAGTTAGTATAAACATTAGATTGTACCATCTCCATTACTTATCCCAATACTTACAATTCTATCAATTTAAATTTCCAAAGCTCGTTCGTTTACTAAATGAAAGCATACTCTGCTGTACCCTTACGCACGCAATTGTTACATGCTTAGTGCTTACAATTATTATTTAACATCGTTATTAAAATTATATCTGTAAATACTAAATAAGCATTGCTCAAAAATGGACATCACGCATAATTTAGATGGTGGAGTTTTGAAAGAGATACTAATACATGGCAATGGAACGGATAAGCCACATAAAGGGTGTAAGGCTTATGTTCATTACACTGGTTCCCTTTCTGATGGCACTGTTTTCGACAAAACTAATGATGAACCATTTCAGTTTACAATAGGAAAAGGTAGGAATAATTTGGTTAAAGTTTTCTGCGTTTATAAAAATTGTTTATTTTTCTCATTTTAGATATGACTATAAAAGGTTTTGACTTGGCTGTGTCTTCAATGACTTGTGATGAAAGGTCAAAATTTCAATGCCATCCAGATTATGGTTATGGGATAGATGGTTTTGAACAAATCATCCCCCCTAACACGTGGCTTACATTTGAAATACACTTACTCAAATGGACATGGGAAGATATCAGTCGCCGGAAAGATAAAAGTATTACAAGACAAATATTAGAATATGGAGTGGACCATGCTACACCTAGTAGTGTTTCGTTAGTTAATATTCATTTAGAAAAAGAAAAAAATGGTAGTGTTATTGAAGAAAGAGATATAGAGTTTAGATTAGGAGAAGGCAAAGACTTTGATGTTTGTCCTGGTATAGAGATAGCATTAACTAAATTTAAGACAAAAGAGAAATCAAGATTGTTTATTCATGAAAAACATACATTTTTGGAATATGGAGAAGATGATTTCAATGAAGTGTATGTCATCAAACTTAACTTTTTTGAAAAGGTTAGAAATTATTAAATAATTCTATTGATTTTTAATTTTTATCTATGAGATTTTAATTTTAATACAAATATTGTCATTAAATAGGATGATGGTACAGTGGCGTAATTATAGAGGGGGGATTTGGATGTCTTTTTTTTTTAAACTGGTTAACCATATTTAAGTACTTAATTAACTATAAATATTATTATCCATAGGTACTAATATAGTACATTTTATAGAAACTACACTTAAGCCCGAATCCCCTATGGAAGCTGTACATAAGTACATAACTAAGATTTAATATTACTTAATAATAACTAATAAACATTGATCCCTAATGCAATATTGCTCTAATATAATATTATTGAAATAGATACGGCATAAAAATGCAATCAACTCTCTGACAAATTTTGAGAATTTTTTTTGGAAAACCTATATATTTCAACAAGTTAGGTACAGTGGTGCAATCAAAATTTGTCAGTGAGACTTAGTTTCAACGTTATAACCTTTTAAAGTGTTTGCAATTTTGAGTATTTTACGTATTCCATTAATCTATTGTAAATGTTAAAACTTTTTTAAATAGTATGTAATTAATTTTAATAAGCACATATATGTATAGTTTAATATGTACATTTATACATGTACTCCTTACATTTTACAGATCACAATGGTTTTACTGAGAGATTTTTAAGATATAAAACAACATTTTTTTTTTGTAGGTAGGGATGAGGTAAATGTTTCAATTTCCATCTCCACAAGTATGACCAAATTACGCCGCTGTATATGTACATTTTCCTCAGATTTTTTTTTCCATTTATGAGGAGAACATTTTGCATGTTGGATCAAAGCCCAATTTTCAAAATTATAATTATGGAAGTTAAAATATGCATTTGAATAATGCACAATATTTGTTATTTTCAAACGTATTTTTTTAGCACTATTTAAAGTAATATAAAAGTTCTGCTGTAATCCAACCTGTAAAAAGTTCTAATCTTCCAGATAAAAAAAAAAAATATCAAAATCTGACATATCAACTGGGCTTGAAAGTTTTTCCTGTTAAGTCATTTTTGATGATGTAATACAGTGTATTAAATACACCATATTAACCCCCCCCCCCCCCCGGAAAAAAAAAATTTATATAAACAAAAATAATAAGTGTTGAGCAGTAGATAAAATAATTATAATTATGGAAGCAATTAAGGCAGCGGTTCCCAAACTTTTTTAATCATAGCATCCTTAGAAAAAAAAGTGTGTTTCGTGGTACCCCAATGTCTGTAAAACAAATATTTCATAGCAATATTATACTAGTAATTATGGTATAGTTGATCTTTTTTTTGCAAGTAGTTCCGTATAACTATAAAATAATTTTCTCAATATTTACATACATCTGGTGGAACCCTTGGGTTGTCCCATTGAAGCTTTGGTTCCGCAGAACACACTTTCGGAATCACTGAACTTGAAGTATAAAATATAATTTTAAAATTTTTTAGAATTGTGGAAAATAGTAAAAACTGGCACAAACACCCTTAATTATTATCACATAAAAATTAAAAACAACCAAAACAAAAAAAAAATGGGTGGATACAACACCCAAACCCTTCTTTACTATACCATTGTGTCGTTTCTTCTTTTGATTTAATTTAATGTTTATAATTCCTATAATAAATTATGAATAATGAAATATCGGAAAATATATGTACGTTGTAGTTCGAAGAAAATTGGTCATTGACAACAGAAGATCGTATAAAACAAGCAACATTTTTCAAACAAAAAGGAACAGATTACTTTAAAATGAATAATTATAAGCTAGCACTTAAATTCTATAAGAAAGTGGTGGACTATTTGAAAGTGGATGTCACTAGTAAATATTTATTTTTAATTTAATGTTTTATTTTATAGAACAAATTATAATTACCTATATTTATTTTATTTTAGGCAATGAAAGTCAAATGAACGAAATCAAATTTCTTTCAGTTACATCTTATTTGAATTCTGCTTTATGTAATTTAAAATCACATAGACATACTCAAGCAAAAAATGATTGTGAGAATGCATTAAACCTTGAACCAACAAATGTCAAAGCAATGTTTAGAAAAGGGGAGGTATGTATTAATTTTTTAGAGACATTTTTATATGAATAAACTTCACATTATTTGCAATTGTTTATTTAAATAAGCCAAACAGAGTACAAAATCTAGGTACATAATATGAAAACAATGATATATCATTATAACCAAATAAGAATTCTGAACTGAATTAAATTTAAAAAAGGTGGACTGGCAAACTCCTCTGCTGTATAGTAGTTTTCAAGCATGCCGTTGTGATAGATGTGTTATATTGTGATTCAATGTTAAATCATTTTATACAAAAAACCATTCTGAGAGGAGATGTGTCAGCCTAGCATACTTATATAAATAATCAAATTTAATAGTCAAAAACAGAATTAATATAAATTGAAAATAGCTCGTAGCTATAAATAGCGTGACTTTTCAGTCAACTTTTTCTTTTTGATAGAGGTAGAAATCTTGTTGGGAACCTTTTATTAAAATGTCTAATGTTAGTTATGAAAAGAAAAACTTTTATAAATGTTTAGCTGAAAACTAATTTAAAAAAGGTGCTCTGCTGTACAGTAGGTTACAAGTGGGTCACTGTATAATGGATAGTATTAAATTTGAATTCAATGATATAATATCATTGTATAAGAAAAACGATTCTGAGCGGAGACGGTATGTCAGTCTAGGTATAAGATATATTATATACTTATCTATCGTATTAAAAAAAATTTACCTAAAGTAGGTACCTATAATAAATTCCAAATTAATCATATCACAATATCCATTAGGTACTTATAATCAGTGCCGGATTTAGCGGGGGTGCAGGGGGTGCATTGCACCGGGGCCTCAAGACCAAGGTTGTATTAGGGGCCTAAGGTTAAAGTCCTAAATTTTCTAACTTTCTATAACTTTTTATTATAAAATGAACAAATTTTATTATTTTAAGATGTTACTGACAAGTGACAACCATTTATTTTGGACGGTTTGAATTTTAGATAAGTAATACTATTTATCATTGTTATTGTTTGTTTTACATATTTATTTGTATACTCATTAATTATATTATATAGTACTTATGCATCGTATACTATTTTCGTATAATCGTACTATATATTTAATCTCAGAGGCTCGTGAACTCGCGCTAGTGCAGTATCTTGCTGGACAAACTAATAATGTAACCGTGGTTATATGTATTTAATATTAATACTGTTTAATATAAATGGATTATGATTTACGGACATGCCTTCGCCTTGATGCAGTGTTATTGGTTTCAGATATGTTATTTTGTACTTTTGTCAGTTTTATTTTTGAGTACCTACTCTATTATATTAATTTTTCATTTGATTATTAAAAATAAAAATTAGGTACCTACCTACACTATCTTTTATTGACTTTTGAAAAAAAACACGTCTAACAGACAATTTGAAAGTGTTGCATCTAAAAGACTGAGAAAAATGTTCAAAACAATGAATTAAAAAAATATAAAGGATTGATGAATAATTTTGAATACAATTCAGGTAACTGAGGTGCCGATTCATATTTGGGTCCTTTCATTTTAGGACAATATAGAGAATATACAGCCAATATCATATTAATGATATTTATTCTTAATTTATATTATACTAGCATAGAAATTAGAAGCATATATTAATGATTAATACATCATAATATCTAAGAGTGGTATAATAGATATGAGAACAGTGAGTGAATGTATAATATCATAATTTTATTTACCTATTAAATTATAGAATTTAAATTTTTAGATTCTGAGTGAAACGATGAATGTATTGATTTTACAATGATGTGTGTTTTTTATTTTTTTATTTTTTTGTATCTGTGTACACGATAAGTAGTCGAAATAATGCTTCGATTTTCGACTTCAGTATCTTGTTCGATTGGAAAGTGAATATCGTTGGTGCATTGGGGAGGTCAAAATTTAAATTTCCCAGTAGTTTTCACAAGCGCCGGGAAAAACAACATAAAAATTAAGGAAAAACGGGAATTTTTACGCAAAATTGATTTTCCAAAAAATCGATTTTGGTTATTGGTGTAACTCTAAAACAAATGAACGTATATACATGAAATTTTCACTGGTTGTTTATATTTGCATTTTCTATACACGATAACATTTTCAAAATATTTTGATTTATTTTGAACTGTTTAGGGACATTTTCATTTTCCATTTTTTTTTTAGTTTTTTTTCTAAAAATTTCAATAAAATTTTATTTGTTGGTTGCGAAAGCTTGAAAATTTAATAGAAGGCTCCTAATATGTTGTTTCAAAGGCAGATGAAAAATATTAAAAATCCTTCGTCACAATTTTTTTTTATAAGCATTTAAAGTTCAAAAATTGACAAAATATGGAAAAATCACGAAAATTAGCAAATTATTTTGAGTTAAGAATTCGTAAAAATTTTTCTTTTTAAATCTAAGATTTGAAAATCTAATACAAGATTACTCATAAGATTGTCTACCTTTATCAATAAAAAAATTTCTACCGGAAAGTCAAATTAAATTTTTATGAGCGTTTGAAATTCAAATTTTTACAACATTGGATATTCACTCGATTTCTCATGTGGCAATTTCCTTTTTTTGTTGTAATTAAAAAACGAATTACTGTAGATACATGAAAATTTCACTGAATGTTTATATTAGCATTTCCTATACACCCTACAATTTTGAAAATATTTTGACACTTTTTGAGCCGTTTACGGACATTTTCAGTTTTCAATTTTTTTAGTTTTTTTTTTCTATAAATATCAATTAAGTTTTATCTGTTGGGCCAAAAAGTGTAAAAATTTAATACAAGGCTCCTGATATATTGTTACAATATCAGTTGAAAAATATTAAAAATACATAGGCACAATTTTTTTTATAAGCATTTTAACTTCGAATTTTGATAGAATTTTTCAAAATCTCGAAAATTATTAATCATCGTAATTAATAAATTATAAAATGTTCAGTTTTTATAGCTAAGGATTGAAAATTTAAAACAAGATTCCACGTAAGTAGTTAATTCTCTTACCGAAAAATATAATATTATTCGTGGGTACCTACTTGAAACTTCTAAAGTGTACTATTATATATATATGATAGTATCAGGGTTTGTTGTTGATGTTGATGTATAACGTGTTATAAGTACCTAATGGATATTGTGATAATGTGATATGATTAATTTGGAATTTATTATAGGTCAATTTTTTTTTTAATACCATATATATGTATATAATTTGTATTAAACCTAGACTGACATACCGTCTTCGCTCAGAATCGTTTTTCTTATACAATGATATTGTATCATTGAATTCAAATTTAATAGCATCCATTATACAGTGACCCACTTGTAACCTACTGTACAGCAGAGCGACATCCACTTACCCACCTTTTTTAGTTTGTTTTATATATCAATACGACAAAACGTATCAAATAAATAGATAATTGTAAAGTCAAGAAATTTTTTTTTTAAGGGGCCTCCATTGGTAGTTGCACCCCGGCCAACTGAGACTTAGATCCGGCACTGCTTATAATGCTTTATACGTCAACAACAAACCCTGATACTATCATAGTCCATACTCCATAGATATATAATAGTGTACTTTATAAGTTTCAAGTATCCACGAATAATATTATACAATCACAACAAAATAACTAAAATAGTTATTCTAGGTTTTTTATAATGTAATTTCGTCCAAATTTGAACTTTAAATTACTATAAAATTAAACTGTGCTTATGTATTTTCTACATTTTTTGGTAACAGAATTAACTACTTACTTGAAATCATGTTTTAAATTTTCAATCCTTAGGTATACAATTTGAACATTTTATAAATTTTTAACTACAAAATAATTATTCAATTTAAATTTGATAAATTTTGTCAAAATTCGATCTTTAAATGCCTATAAAAAAAAATTGTGCCTATGTATTTTTTATATTTTTCAACTGATATTGTAACAATATATCAGAAGCCTTGTATTAAATTTTTACACTTTTTGGCCCAACAGATAAAACTTTATTGATATTTATAGAAAAAAAACTAAAAAAATTGAAAACTGAAAATTTTCGTTTACAGCTCAAAAAGAGTCAAAATATTTTCAAAACTATGGTGTATAGGAAATGGTAATATAAACATTCAGTGAAATTTTCAAGTATCTATAGTATCTAACCATAAAAATTTAATTTGAGTTTCTTGTAGACATTTTTTTTTGATAAAGGTAGACAAACTTATGAGGAATCTTGTATTATATCTCTACAATCTAAGATTTAAAAAGAACATTTTTTATGAATTTCTTACTCGAAATAATTTTCAAATTTTCGTCATTTTACGTATTTTGTCAATATTTGAACTTTAAATGCTTATAAAAGAAAATTGTGACTAAAAGTTTTTAATTTTTTTCATCTGCCTTTGAAACATTATACCTAGTAGGAGCCTTTTATTACATTTTCAAGCTTTTTTAACCAACAAATAAAATTTTATCGATATTTATAGAAAAAAAAAACTAAAAAAAATGAAAACTGAAAATGTCCGTGAAGAGCTCAAAATAAGTCAAAATATTTGGAAAATGTTAAGGTGTATAAAAAATGATAATATAAACATTCAGTCAACATTTTGTTTACCTACGGTAATTTGTTTAAGAGTTGCACCAAAAACCAAAATCGATTTTTTCGAAAGCAGATTTTGTGTAAAAATTTCCGATTTTCCTTAATTTTTCTTTTGTTTTTCACGACGCTTTTGAAAACTACTGAAAAAATTTTACTTTTGACCTCCCAAAGTACCAACTAGATTCACTTTCATATCAGAAAATATACTATCGAAGAAAAGCCAAGCACTTTTACTGTCCTAAAAGGTGATGACAGACACAAAAAAAATTTAAAAAAAAACACACATCATTGTACAATCAATACATTCATCGTTCCACTCAGAATCTAAAATTTGAAAAAAATTATCATGGTTATAATATGCCACGTTATATTACTTATTACTTATTAGGTTTTTAGTTACATCAAACAATTATAATTTTTCAAAAATTGGTTTAGCTTAAAAATTACCTCTTTTTTTCGTTCTTCTTGATTCTTTCTAAGACTATTTGGAATTTTCAATTTTCGCCTCCCAAAAGTATCAACTAGATTCACTTTTCTATCAGAAAAGAACCTAATCTCGAAAATCTGAGCATTTTTCCCAAAATTTTGATGACAGACAAAAAAAAACACATTATAAAATCAATACATTCTTTCGCTCGCTTTTATTTAGCAGATTGACGTAGTTAATTAATTTTTTTTTTTTTCTGTTGTCTGTTGATGCTGTAATTTTTAAAGAAAAATATTTTTTTTGTGAAAATAATGTTTATTATTCTCAAAATGTACATCGTCTACATTTTAAAATTAATATTCTATTTCCTAGAATTTGGGCTTGAAGTGTAACTATCAGTAAAATATATACTCTAATATTATTTATGTGATAAAACTCTTCATTTATCTATTATTGAATAAAATCCCCGTAACATTCAAAGGACGGGGTGCCGCCACTGGGTGACTTCCCCCTCCCGCTAATCATCCCCATCCCATTTACTTATTGTAATACATGTAATTATAGATTGTAAATAAAATTTTTTTTGTTCAATAAAAAAAAAAAAAAAAGAAAGAAAAAGAACATTCAAAGGTCTTAAAATTCTTGGATTATTTTTTATTTTAAAAGGCTTTAGTTGGTTTACATGAATTAATAGCTGCAAAAGAAAGTTTTGAAGCTGTCTTACAACAAGAACCAAACAATCGTGCAGCTATGACAAAAATAGTTGAATGTGATGAAAAACTTAAATCACAAAAAAAAATAGAAAAATCTGTTTATTCAAATATGTTTGAGAAATTTGCTAAGAGAGATAGTAAGTTCTTTTTGTTTCTTAAACTTCTTCATAACAATTTTACTAACTATTTTATTATAGCTGAAAAAGAAGAAGAATTTCTAAGTCAACAACCTGATGTTATGAACACACTTGGAGAATGGGGAGATGATGAACGGGAACGAGCTCCTACTGAATTTGAGAAAGAAAATCCTAATATATTAATGTTAAACACAACTGGCTATTTCAAAAATATGTAAAATATTAATTTTATGATAAACAGTTAATTTTGATTGTTAGGATTTAATAGATAAAATACTGAACACAGAAATAAGACTTATTGTATAACTAATGTAATTGTCCAAAGTTACAATTTTTATGTTAGTTAAATGTATTTCATATTTTTGTTTGTTAGTTAAATGATTCATATTTCATAATTTTTATGTTTTCAAAATAATAATAATTTTGCAGTAAAAAAAATTCATAGTATAATATTTAAAAACAATTTTTTTCTTGGTAGCTTCACTTTGTATTCGAAAGCAATATATTTTGTTAGGCGTATCAATTAACTTGTTAAATTGTTGTCATTTTCATTCAGTAACCAATGCCAAAAGAATTAGAATACGGTGAATGTTTAATTCCAAATGAATGTGCTTGGGACAAATCAACTTGAACCTGAAATAATAAGATAATACTGTTGTAAATAATTGTACATAATCATAAGTATATCCAAACGTTTACTGTTTATCGGAGATAACTTTTTTTTTAAACATAAATGTCATTATAAAATAGTTTTCTCGGACATTATGAAATATTGTGTAAGTAACTCTCAAGACCCATTCCGTTAACGCATATCTCTGCTCGAATTAATTTACCAACCTGCTGAAGTTTTTTTGTAACTGTAAATATTGGATAAACATTAATTAATCTTAAAAACAGAATTTTACATTTTACATATCATGTTAGAAAATAACGTGTTAATGAGTGAAATTAAATCATTTAAAATGCTGTTTGCTTAGCAGATTGATATACTAATATTTTGGTTTTTGCATGATCGTTTATATTTTTATTTTTTATTATGTGACCATGGACATAATAGTAGAACTTTTACTAGAATCTGTCATATTTTACCTAATGTATTTAATGGTAAACCCTCACCTAGTTCTGCATATTATGCCATGAACACAACTAGATTTAATTTTGTGATTACTGTATCTTTCATTACTAACTACTAACCAATGTGAGATTCAATTAATTTAATATTTGTGCTTTCTATTGTGTATAGTAAAAGTGTATTTTTTAAAATCATATCTAGTCAAATTGTGCATATACTAGACTTTCTAATTTGCCCAAAGTGCTAATACATTATACAAATTACTTTGAAGTGTTTATGCTGTACGCACTGACCTATTCTTGTTCATATATTATTCCTTCATACTGCGAATGTCGTATACCAAAAGAATAGGATGGTACAGACGATTTTAACATTGTCACCTAAAATGTTTCATACATTAATTTAAGAATATTATGTATATAGTAGTGAGTATTGACTCGTGTTGTCTGTGTTTTAATTGTTTCATATATTAATTCATGTGTGTGATTGTCTAATAAATAAACCGTCAAATACTCAAGTTCATATGCCAATTATTGAAATTGTTATTTATATAAAACCACTTAAATAATACAAATTCAAACCGTATAATATGTTTTATAAAAATGTTGTATTATTGTTGTGCTGTGCATCGGATGTGTATCAATGAACACTTGGAGTTTATGGTACATAAATTGTTACTTGTCTTGAAGAATAAGGTTCCTCTAGGCTGCAATATTTTATCGTGGTCGCAGTAACCATTTTAATATTTTTATGGTAATTATATATTTATTAGATAAACAAGGTAATTTAAGAGTGAGAAGTTTCTTACTTAGTTCAAATGAAACATTGTGTCTAATAAAAACTTGATTTTTGAGTTGAATACAACTACCTACTGGATTAGTCATTTTTGACGTCCACTATTTTATACTGATTTTCCATTACTAGGTTAGCTGATCTCCCCCTCCTCATAAATCCTGCCAACCCTCTTAGTCTTCCCCAGGATGTACGTGTGCTGGCCTAATTGTAGTATATAAGTACCTATACGCATGTATAATCGTCATCGACCTTTGCAGAGGGACTGTGGGACAGCTCCATTGACTTGGTTGTGGGGGGGGTCTCAGTCATTTTTTTTTCAGAAAACCTTCGATTTTTTTTTCTGTAATTTCGTTTTTAACTATATTCAATTTTTTAGAAATACGGCCTTAGGGGGGGCAGGCCCTCGGGAGCCACCCCTGCGTGCTGTAGTGCATAGTACTGGATATGCACTAACCTTTTCGGGAGAATACGCTCCCGGGCCGGGTCTGGGGGAACTGTCGCCGGGCATGTTGTACCGGGCGCTGACCGTGTACGCCGGCGATTTCGGTTTAATACTGTCAGCGCTTACGTCGTTGTAAGCGCCGGGGCCGGGGTTGAGCAGCCGGCCGTCCGGGAATTCCTTGGTGCGGCCGGATATGCTGAACGACGGGGCTGCCTTGAAGTGCCCCTCCTTGGCCGCTCCCATAACCGTCGGGATGTTGTACACGTTGGGCGCCGGGTTCGGGTTCGGCTTGTCCACCTGCGTTTTCAGTCCGAACGTGTACTGCGGCGAGTGTTCGTGGATCACCTTCTCGGCCTTTTCCGGGTTGTAGTCGCCCGGTGCGGGGAAGTTGTCGGACCTCACCTCCTTGGGCCTCGAGTGCAGTGTAGACGCCGGCGGTGTGTCTTTGCCTGTATAACAATAACTCCATATTATTTATTTATTATTTATCAACTTCCGTTAGGGCAATTTTACAAAATAAAATATACTAATAATTTACAAAACACATATTATTAAGGATAATATAATTATAGACTAAATTTTATAATATTATAACGGTTCAAGTGGCATAACAAGCATTAATTCGTTATTTCGTAAATTGTTCACTATTTTGTAAATATTTTTTTTACACAAGTCGAATAAGTCGACGGTCATTGCAAAACAGCATTTGTGAAAAAAATCAAATTTTTACCGTTATTATTTTTTTAAGTTTTTACCGTTTTAAATGACAAAATACATTTTTAATTTTATATTCCAAAGCAGATTATTTTTCAGAGATGGTACTTAGAATTTTGAAAGAGTAGTTAATTAGTAGTTAATTAGTTGTAACTTTAAACTTATACAGTAGTAACTACTGGTAGTTAATAGTTTATAGTTATACCTATAAGTACGTAAATATTATATGAGCGACATAGAAATATCCCTCAAAATGTTGGTCCAGTGTCCACTAGTCACTACTCCGTTCATCAAAACTTTAAATACTTATAGCCAGGGGCGTAGCGTGCATGTAAGCACTGTAAGCACTGCTTACACTTTAAATGAAAGAAAAATAAATTTGATCAATCACGACCAATAAAGGTACACAATAAATGATTTTTAAAATTTTAATTTTATTTATAAAATATTTAAGTTATAGCTGGTAGTGGTTTTTGTTATTGTTTATTTGTGACGTACGCTGTCTGATTACCAACTATTTTAAGAAAATCATCGATTGTAGGTCTATTTTTAATCCATTCCGTATTATGTTAACTGCTTTATCATAATACGATATACAGTGTAACACATTCTGAAATTGCTTACGTGCAACTGTTGTTTTCGAATAGTCTATAATGCCATAGTGGGGGTCACGTATTTAAAGGACCATCCAACTCAAAAAATCAATAATTATTTTTTTACTCAAATAAATAGAATAGAGTCTAACTAAGATAATGATACAAATAAAATTCGTTTGTGACTATTCGTTCGCTAGTCACTGTGACTTATGACATTGCGCGTGACGTCACGGATTCGTCCGCCGAGGCGGCGGCCATATATAATACAAGGCAATATTTATCCATTTTTGGTTTAACATAAAATAACTGCTTATGAACTTATTTTTTTTCGAATGAACTAATCAAATGTATTCAAGAGTACCTCATAATCTTTCCATTCGTATAATTATATCACATTTTGGTTTAATAGTGTAGACAAAAATAACTCTTAAATAAATTATATTATGAATTTACCATACTGCTGCTGCAGTAAACGTGTGTAATATTGTTTTGACGATCGTGACATCGTGTACGGATTTCTGACGCCTAAACTGTCTATATAGTTTTAACTCGTAGCTAATATTAGAGATGGGTGAGGCTTTCTTATTATTATCCAACTATTTTAACCACGAACTAAGATATACAGGACTGGAAACGAATGTTGATACGAGTACATCTTAATATTATGATTGTGCGGGGGACGAGGGAATTTCGGTTCTTATCAACACTAGCGCTCAACTCTAGGCTGGCGGCCGCTATCCGAGTTAATACTTATTATTTATTAATTATTATTGATTTTGATATTTCTCAGTTAACAGTTATGCATTTAAACCAAAAGCAACCCAAATATAATATAAAAAAAAGATACTATATATTACTCAATATTAGGTGTAACGTCTAAGAAAATAATTAAATATTTGAGCGGTTTTTTTTTATATTTTTGAATGTAGGACGTAGGTATCATGATTTCAAAATATTATTATAGAATATAGATATTAACTATAATTTCAAATTTGTAATAATTTATTGTATAATTATATTTAGTTGATAACATATCATGGAAATAAAACATTACATAGGTATCTAATATCTATTATATAGGTAGCGTTAATTAAGAAATAAAAAATAGGTAGAACCTATTACCTATAATTTATAAAGTACCTATTATGTAGTAGGTAATAAGTTTTGATAACTTTTTTTTTTTGTAACTTTTCTTTTTTAGTTGTTTGTTTTGTGACAAAGTAAACTGTTTCATTCTCATAGTGATGTAGTATTGGAAAATATTAGTCATTATTTCTGTTTTATGATCACTACAAGGAAATGTCAATAAATTTTTTTTTTTTTTCATTATGTGAAAGACAATTTATTACACAACACCTCACCATAATTGTGTGTATTTTAAGATAAATAAATTAAATAAAAATTATAAAAACTATTCAGCATGCATCTTTCTTAAAAAAGTTGAACATCAGGTCACCAAAGTCAAGATCAAACAGACACAATTATTATGAATTATAATTATACTATGTTAATTAGGTATAAAATGTATAATAATATATTATAAGTTTATAACATTATTGTATAATTATATATTTTACGAAGCATGAAAAAGGCGAGAAATTAAGCTCCTGTTGATTAGCATACCGATTTATTAATTTATTGTTTTGGATACCTAGATGGCGCTAGTGTTGACAAGAACTCGAAGCCCCCGTACCCCGCTCATTGTATACATTAAGGAGGATTTACCTCTCACACCCTCCAACCTTATTGTTTCCAGTCCTGTATATCTTAGTTCGTGATCTTAGTTCGTGATTTATACATAAAAAAAAGCGGGAAAAAATAACACATGATTTGATAATTATATTAATATTAATAATAATAATTTCCAAGGAGATTGAAGACTTAATTGTAATTTTGACGTAACTTGATTACATGTTATCAGTGTTCACGTTTTACTTTTTTGAGATACGACATGTTACTCGCCCAACGACGATATATGAATATCTAGTAGGGCAGTGGCTATAATTATTATTAATTGTCTGATAATATTTTTATCTATCGTGGCATAATATTTTATTAGTCATCAATGATTTGTTCTAAACATTTTTCTAACGAAGATTTTAATGAATCCGACTTATTACGTGAAAAACTTATGCCCGACGGCCGACACTAAAGTAATTGTAAGATTAAAACCCAGTTTTCCCTACCATTTTTAGTACTCAAAAAAATTTTTTTATCGCTTCAACTACTAGTGATTCAAATAGAGAGGAAAGAATTTCGAGGGAAAAAGAGATGGTCGTAGAAGTATTAAAAACTAGCACACCAAAAAAAAAAAAAAATGTACATGATGAAGTTTTTGATGACGAAAATGTTGATGACGATTTCATAAATATAAATTCTAGTTTGATTTCTGTATGTTCAAGACAAAGTTATGCCGACACTGTTAATGATAAGGACATCCAATGTGAAATAGGTAATGAAATTTACCGTTGTCAAGATAGTGCAGGTGATTATGATAAGTCGTTCAACTATTTGTCCGATGAAAATAGCTCCTCTGAAGATGATACAGATGTTTATTATTTCATTAATATTAAACCAAAATTCAATATAATTATACGAATAGAAAGGTACTCTTAAATACATTTGGTTAGGTTATTCGCAAAAATATAAGTTTATTAGCAGTTACTTTACGTTAAACCAAAAACGGATAAACATTGCTGTGTAAACATCGCCGCGACGAACGAATCCGTGACGTCACGCGCAATGCACGCGCAATCGCTTAACTAGCGAACGGACAGTCACAAACGAATTTTAGTGGTATCATTTTTTTCATCAAAGTTTGTACTTCAATTTAATCCTGAGAAAATTTTTTGAGTTGGATGGTCCTTTAACTAGCGTTTGTAAGCACATTTGATTTTGCAAACAAGGAGCGACCAGTACGTAGCTCGACGCGTTGTAGACTATAGTCGTTTTTACGTACACTGTCACTGTCATTCGCCTAATAGACTTTTGAAGTATTTATACTTCAATTTCTTTATTTTCTCGAATTTGATTTGTACAACTAGTATATTTTTAAAAATATTAAAAACCTTAAAAGGATAACATTTTTTTATACATAATTTATAATTAGGTATTTAGGTATAGTACCTATATTCTAATCACTTTTGAAAAAAAAATTTCACTGCTTACATCTTTTTAATACCCACGCCACGCCACTGCTTATAGCCTATAGGTTATAATAGTTGTAGGATGTAACCTACTAATTAACTACTCATTTGAGATCCGATTTTTAAGCATCGATATTTTCCGAAAAATTACCTACCTACATGTAAAATAGTCTGTCCTTAAAAATTTAAAATCTTATAAATTATAAATGCTGGAATAGGTAACAATATATTTCCTTGTTCACGATAATAATAAATCACCACTTAAATGTTATTATTTCTATTTATTAAATATTAGTTATTACTACTTATTAGTGTTATTACTTATTACTACCTATATTCAAAATTGTATAATATATTATTATTTATTAATAATATCGGTGCTTCGTCACTCAACACTGAACACACAAACTCAAAAATCTGTTTAAATTGTATAAAATAGGTACAATAATATTTTCATGATAAATCATGATACCAAATAATAAATATTATTATCTATGCCTACCATTTTCGATTTGACATATTATCACATATTCTGATATTCATCGAAGTTTATATTAACATGCAATAAAAAGTTATGCACACCTTAGAAAAATTGTGTAGTGTTGTACAATGTAAACTCTAAAAACAAATTCTCAGATATCATATTTTTTGACACAATTTTGGGAATGTTTGCATGTTTTAACTTTTAAATTTTAATTAAGACCTAAGTACTTGGTGTACTCAATATGGGTAGGTACATAGTTATATTAATTAACAGGGGGTACAATATTATATCCCGGTGGTGAATAAAATATTGTATAAGATTATTATTTATTATTACGTTGATCTAACCTTTTGCACTCAACCCGGTGATATTATATTGACCAGGTCCCGGTCCGGCGCTGTCATTTTTTTCGTTGTGTCTGAAACAACAATAATTAATTTTCTAAAACTGCGCTAATAAAATATTATTTATATTTAAATAAATATAAATCAAAATAACATACCTAGCACCAAAACTAAAGGCCGGTGCACGTCCACGTTTGGATTCTGGTACTAAATTTCCTGTAAAGAAATTCAAATAAATTAAGTACTTACATTTTTTACCGCATGTCGCGGAATCAATTTATGAGAATTTTATTACTTTGAGTTAATGAGATTAAATAAATAGGTAGCATTATCATTTTAGTATTAGTCTTCTTCTTTCCTATTTTTTTCACCTTTCACATTACCTATCATTATTTTTTTAAATAAATTATTTATCCAAGTTAATAAATTATAACAATATACGATATACCTATAATACTATTAAAGATACTTTTACCGTTTTAGTGCATTATATTTTTAATTTATTAAGCTAAACTTTAATTAAATGAACGCTTAATTTGATCGTTTGAAATATTATACCTAACTTATAAGTTATAAGAAAACTTATAAAAAAGGAAACAATGTAAACCCTCTCATATTCAAAAGCAGTTTTTCATCTTGCCAAAGATAAAGAGAAAATGTCGTTATCCTGTGTTCAAAGTTATTTCGTCAACTGATAATATAATATTATTATGGTTTATGACTATTGTTAAACAAATAAGTAATAACTTCATATCTGTGACCTAGGCCGTATCCAGAAATTATCCCGGGTGGGAGGGGGGTTGTCCAAAACATGTATATTGTAATTTTATTGAATTTAGGTTTTGATATTTGGTTAAAAATAAGATATTGAAACAATTTCGGGGGGGGGGGGGCTTCGTCCAGATACGGGTTGTCTGTGACCTATTTTGTGCAACATTAAATAGGTAAGCCAAAGATTATTTCATGTCGAGTGCCACTAATGAGTGACTTCTTATTCCCATTAAATTATTCCAATTTAAAAAAAGATTATTTCATAATATTATGTTATATACATATACCTGGGGAAATAATTGCGAAACACCTATTTATTATATTCCTCAATATATAGGTATAATATACAACATGTTTGTATAATGTATTTATTGATAATTTTTACATAAAAATAATCAAAATATATCAGAAAAAGTCTTTTATTTCTTGGGAGTTAAATTTTAAACTTGGGGTGCACAAGTACCCTGACTCGGGGCTCGAGCTCCACATTAAGTTACGCAAATGGACTGTTCCCATTCCATTGTCCTGCAGGACTGAAGCTCGCGTAGATTGTGGAGTGGTATAAAGTATGTAGCTACCCCCCCCCCCCCCGTCCTCTTGAATTTTTTTTTGTTTACTCGTTTATTAATGTACCTACCTATTAATGTATTATAGACTCACCGACGAGAGTTGGTAACGCTACGGCAGCTGGTCCGGGACCTGAAAATTCAGCAGCTATCGGGCCTCGTCTCTTAGTCGGCGTCCATTGTCTTTGTTGATGTCCGCCCATTGTTTAATGAAATGCGTCTATTATATCCGGTACCTTGAAATGAGAAAATTATATTTCTTGATACATGGTCTTTTGTTAAATGTTATATTATTAATTATTTTTTTTCAGAAAGACTTGTCGTTCAAGACAATACAATAGTTAGATCCAAGTGATCCAACACCGAATTTACCTAATCTATAGGTGTGTATCTAATATTATGATAACTGTAAAGTACCTATTTAAGTACCTATTGCAGTAGGTATTGTAATATTTATAATATATTAAGTACAATTAAATAATAACAACAAATGCATAGCATTTCTCATCTCTCTGCAATGTTGATGTATAGTAACTAAAAATCGATGATCTTGTAAAACTCCAATTTTCAAGTTTTCGATGTACTAAATCATCTTTAAATGAAAATTTATTTTATAAAAACTTTTGAATTTTTGGTGTTATATTATGAAAGTGTTAAAATTGTTAAATTATTATGTTTAAGTAGGTATTATTGAAAACATTTTAATTAATTAGCTTTTATAATCTATTATTATTGTGTCAGTTTGAGATGACAGGTACCTACCTATCACTAATGACACGCGCTTGATAAATACACATTTGTGCATTATTGTAATAACTCAAAATAATATATAATTATATAGGTACTACTCCATGGATTGTATTTATATTTTATACATTTCCCTTAATATTAGATTATACATTTTAAAGCATTCAATTTTCTGGTAGAATATAATACACTATAGTGCATTGTATAAAGAATTTAAAATAAATTCGACGAACATAATGCAATAATCACCATCAATCCAGGTATTGGTAATTTGTATACATCACATTATTTTATCGTTGTATATCAGATTATAATATTTAGTAATAGGGTGAGAAAATGGCAACGAACCTCGCGTAGGAATTTACCCCACGGGTTGGCTATTATTGATGTTTCCGATGACTTTTTCAAGGTTTTTTTTTCGGGTCACGGAAAAATACTACCTATATCGGCTATATCATTAATAGTATGTAAATCATTTATATATAGTATTATGTGGGTGTACGTAAAAGAAAATGTAAACCCGTCGAAAGATATTACACTTATACGTATAGTATATTTATTTATTATCATATCAGTAATAATTACCTATGTATAATATACGCGGATTAATATTGTATTGTATATTTGTATGTATTATGCCTATATATTTGCAGCCGTTCGAAAAGTCTGCAAGAAAAATATTATTGCGTGACAAGTGCTGACAACTCTACAAATAGATTTTGAATCTATGTGTATGGAAACTAGAACAGAATAAGAGATAGAAATTAATTTAGATTGTATTGTTTTCCGGTAAATTACGCATGAGCACGGAATGCCGTCAAATTATTAATATAAATAGGTAGGTAGGTAATATCCATACCCATACACGCGTGTCCGTACATGTTATATAGGTACAACGATGTACGCCTAATGCCCATGGTAAATATATTGTTTATGTTCGAATTTAAGTAATAATTTAAATAAACATATGAGAACACCGTATACGGAGTGGTATTGTAATATATTATCTACTTGTAGGCTACAAACATTGAGATTGTTATACAATATACATACAATACCCAGCCACTAGGGACAATTGGGGGGGGGGGGGGTTGGATTAGATCAGTGGTCTCCAACCTTTATTTTGGACTCACAACTAACTTTTTAGGCCTACATTTTTCGCGACCCACGTAGGCTTTGTAGAAAAACAAAAAAAAAAACTAAAATTGCTTTGTATAGTAGTACTACCTATTATAACTGAATAAATAAAAATGTGCTCTGCTGTACAGTAGGTTACAAGTGGGTCACTGTATAATGGATGGTATTAAATTTGAATTCAATGATACAATATCATTTTAGAATCATTCAAAACGATTCTGGTCGGAGACGGTATGTAACTATAGGTATAAAACATACTATATATACTTATCTATGGTATTAAAAAAAAATTGACCTATAATAAATTCCAAATTAATCATATCACAATATCCATTAGGTACTTATAACGCGTTATACATCAACAACAAACCCTGATACTATCATAGATATATAATAGTGTACTTTAGAAGTTTCAAGTACCCACGAATAATATTATACAATCACAACAAAATAACTAAAATAGTTATTCTAGGTTTTTTATAATGTAATTTCGTCCAAATTTGAACTTTAAATTACTATAAAATTAAACTGTGCTTATGTATTTTCTACATTTTTTGGTAACAGAATTAACTACTTACTTGAAATCTTGTTTTAAATTTTCAATCCTTAGGTATACAAGTTGAACATTTTATAAATTTTTAACTACAAAATAATTATTCAATTTAAATTTGATAAATTTTGTCAAAATTCGATCTTTAAATGCCTATAAAAAAAAATTGTGCCTATGTATTTTTAATATTTTTCAACTGATATTGTAACAATATATCAGAAGCCTTGCATTAAATTTTTACACTTTTTGACCCAACAGATAAAACTTTATTGATATTTATAGAAAAAAAACTAAAAAAATTGAAAACTGAAAATGTTCGTTTACAGCTCAAAAAGAGTCAAAATATTTTCAAAACTATGGTGTATAGGAAATGGTAATATAAACATTCAGTGAAATTTTCAAGTATCTATAGTATCTAACCATAAAAATTTAATTTGAGTTTCTTGTAGACATTTTTTTTTGATAAAGGTAGACAAACTTATGAGGAATCTTGTATTATATCTCTACAATCTAAGATTTAAAAAGAAAATTTTTTATGAATTTCTTACTCGAAATAATTTTCAAATTTTCGTCATTTTACGTATTTTGTCAATATTTGAACTTTAAATGCTTATAAAAGAAAATTGTGACTAAGGGTTTTTAATTTTTTTCATCTGCCTTTGAAACATTATACCTAGTAGGAGCCTTTTATTACATTTTCAAGCTTTTTTAACCAACAAATAAAATTTTATCGATATTTATAGAAAAAAAAACTGAAAATGTCCGTGAAGAGCTCAAAATAAGTCAAAATATTTGGAAAATGTTAAGGTGTATAAAAAATGATAATATAAACATTCAGTCAACATTTTGTTTACCTACGGTCATTTGTTTAAGAGTTGCACCAAAAACCAAAATCGATTTTTTCGAAAGCAGATTTTGTGTAAAAATTTCCGTTTTTCCTTAATTTTTCTTTTGTTTTTCACGACGCTTTTGAAAACTACTGAAAAAATTTTACTTTTGACCTCCCAAAGTACCAACTAGATTCACTTTCATATCAGAAAATATACTATCGAAGAAAAGCCAAGCACTTTTACTGTCCTAAAAGGTGATGACAAACACAAAAAATAAAATAAAAAAAAACACACATCATTGTAAAATCAATACACTCATCGTTCCACTCAGAATCTAAAATTTAATTTTAGTAGGGAGAGTATTTAATTATTATTAGTTGAATATGTATAGAATTCACACGAAAAAATATAATAAATATTATATTATAGAATATAGGTCATATAAACTTATTTTTTTATTTATTTCATGTATTAAACTTATTTTTTATTTTAAAAAGAAGACGTGTCGCGACTCAACGGTTGAAGACCACTGGATTAGATCCTATAGACTTTTTTTAAAGCAATTTTATCAAACAACGGTTTTTTGGAATAATCTAAAAATACTATACTCTTGTTCAAGTTGCTTCTTGTAGTCAGGGTTATTTTAGGAGGGGGTGTTATTTTTGTATTTAAATATAACTTGTGGAGGGCTTTACACACTGTGTTGTATAGTCATTAATCTTCATAATGACATAATATAACATTAAATATGAAACAGAACCATAATATGACAACATATTTTGTAGAAATCTGAAGTATACAACCAAAAATGAACAAATATATTTTTTGCATAATACGGTTGAGAGGGGAGTATTTCAACACCCAAACACCCCCACCCTCCTGGCTATGGCATTGCTCCATAAATATTAAAGAATATTATAGTCAATCAGTCAATAACTATATTAATTATTAACAATTCAAGGTAAGTGTGCCGGAATGGGGAAGAGAGAAATACTATTTTTATCATTGCCACTCATTCTGGCATATTATAATATATACCTATTACCTATATATAATTATACATAAATATAACTGTGATAATCCCTCAATATTGTCATGTTCGTTACCACGTGATAATCAGATATGGCCTGTCCATTCTACAATATCTATGCATTGCTCTTGTTCATATTCATACACCATTGTATTTATTTCATTATGATAAATATTTTATATTTTACATACATAATAGGTACATAATACATGGAGCGTAAAATGTGGTCTATTTATACATTTTATAAAGTAGGTAGGTAGGTACTTACAACTTTACTACATTCTAAAGTCACACGATGATAGTAAAACGGGATAGTTGCAATCGTGACTACAGCTATAATTCCTACCATGGTAGTTTAAACTTTAAAGAGCCAATCGGCAGTCACTGTGAGAAAAATATAATAGCTTCTGTCTCAATGTTATATACTCATGATATGTGTGAATTAAACTATTTATATATGGGTAGCTATATATAGGTCCGGGGTCCCCGTTTTATAAACTATATAAACACAATAATCCATGTAATTTTTATAGCTATATAAATCTGCATATATATAGTAAGATTTGAGGCCTTTTAATTTGGGGGAAGGGCTTTAGTCTGTCTAAAATTATTTTTCGTACACTATAATGATCGTTTTTTTTAATTATAAAAATAGGTACCTCAAAACGCCTATTTTTTGTACTTAAGTTATGTTGTTTCCTTCCCCGAAAATATAAAATTTTGAATACTCTACTGACTCCAACGCATACATATCGTTTTGATGGCTCTAAACCTATAGGTGTTTCATAGATAAATTTAAATGGGATTAATAAGTTGGTTTTAACTATTTTATGGTTCACGACGGCGGTCATTGTCATTCCCACATTACAGGAAAATTCTATACAAACAAACACAAGCGAAATCCTTGTA